TACTACTAATTAATCTTTAGAAATTCTAGATCCGTGATGCCGAAACCCTATGGCAGAATTGGAATGCAGAGCCATCTCTCCAGGCACATGAGCCATCGCTTGTTGCTCTTCCGGGATCCGGCGTGCTGTTAGCTAGTCTTCACACGCGTGGGAGTGCCCAAAACCGGCTGGGGCGCATGCAAGCGCTACAAAGATAATCTTCCGCTTTCCGACATGCGCCGGCACCTAGTCTTCCGGTTCACCAACACTGTTCTAGATACTAAATTCAATTTCATGAATCTTAGTTGAATTATTTCTTCATTCAATAGACCTTTTAGGCTGGATTGCTAAGACTAGTAAATTTTGTGGAAGGCTACAATTTGCCATTCTGAATCAAGTGTCCAAGAAAAAGCATACAGTTACTGTGTAAAAGACCTATAAGAACCAAAGTATGTATCTGGCAGAGATGAATTCTGCCTCAGGCGTCTCTCAACAAGATAATACATGAAGCAACCTATCATGAGATTTCATAGTGCTTTCTGTAGTCACAATTAAAGCAAGCAAGGCTTAAAGATATACTTGGTTCCTCCAGATAGTTCAGTGCTTAGCAACAAGCAAACACAGCAAAATAAAAGCAAAAAAAAAAATCCATAGGGGATAAGAGCATTCTGTTTAGGCAGAAAATATGGGAGCAAGTTTATTAGCAATTATTTAGCATATCATTAAACTCCGTAGGGCTTTTTAAAGTTTTTTTTTTCCATTTGGGATAATTACCAAACAATTCAAAATAATTCTGATCTACTTAAATATTTTTCTTTTCCAACGTCTGACTTCCGGCAAAGGATAGGGTGGGGCCCACCAGGTTCATACATGGTCCCAAACTGTAGGAGGGTTCAACTGTTTTTGACTTATAACTACGAGAATTTAGCCACCGTGATTCATAAACAATGATCTGTGAGAACCAGGAATCTTTGGCTTAAATTTAGAAACCATGCTTAAGCACACCAAGACATGGCGAGATATGTAAATCTAGTCCCATCAATCCATCTGTCCATCCCTCGATCCATCCTTGCATCCAACTCACTTTATATGACTGTCCATCTAGCTAAGAAACTCTGGGCAGCAACCCAAAAAATGCAAATAAGGTACTCTAGGATCCTGATGGCGAACCTATGGCACACATGCCAGAGAGGGCAGCCACAGCTCTCTCTGTGGGCACGCGTGCCGCCACCAGCTGGTCTTCTGGTTTCTGGCGAGAACGTGCACATTGGCCGGCTGGTCTTCGTGGGTGCCAGAGTTCCGGAAAATGGCCTGAAAATAACCCAAAGAACGGCAAAAAAACCAGACCATTTTGGGGGGCATTTCCGGGCTGTTTTCCAGGCCCTTTTCAGACCATTTTCTGAGGCTGAAAATGGCCCAAATAACAGCCAGAAACAGGTATGCTCACACTGTCCAGGTGATCTTCAGGTTTCCGGCGCTCCAACATGCACACGTGCACACACATGCGCACGTATTCCAGTATGGGCACTCGACATCACTGCTCTAGAGTCGAGGTGGCGCAGTGGTTTGAGTGCAGTACTGCAGGCCACTTCAGCTGACTGCTATCTGCAGTTCGGCGGTTCAAAACTCACCGGCTCAAGGTTGACTCAGCCTTCCATCCTTCCAAGGTGGGTGAAATGAGGACCCAGACTGTGGGGGCAATATGCTGACTCTGTAAGCCGTTTAGAGAGGGCTGAAAGCCCTATGAAGCGGTATATAANCCCTGAGCCGGTGAGATTTGAACCGCTGACCTGCTGATCTAGCAGTAGCCTGCAGTGCTGCATTTAACCACTGCGCCACCTTGGCTCTATAGGAAGACGGCAGCTCCGATCACGCTTTGCTCGCACAAGCACAAAGCCGAAGGCACCAGCCTGAAGATGGTGAGTGGGACCTCGTTGAAACGTCGCCAAGATACTCTCAATCGTAGACGGGAAAAGACCCGAATATGCCAAGACCTGCACACACACACACACACACACACAAATATAATTTTTGCTGATAAATAAATAAAGGGAGACTAGAATAGATCTATTTCAAGCTACAGTATTTAGCTATCATCATACCCTTACTGGGATTCGAACCTGCGCTGTTTTTATGTTAGGCAGTTGTATTAGCCTCTAAGCCACAAGCTCTCCTCCCTCATCAGCTGAGCCAAGGAAATGGTTAAGTGTTATGTCAAAGCACTTGGTATGCCCAAATACGGGAGGGAACATTCTGCTTCCCTTATTTATCAGCACAAATGCAACACAAAAATGTTTTTCTGCCTGGAAAGTTCCTAGGGTGGAGCTGAAAGGCAAAGGGGAAGCAGTATTCTTCCTCCCATATTTGGGCATACCAAGTGCTTTGACATAACACTATATGTGTATGTGCATGTGTGTGTGTATAAAATATAATATAATAATATGAATTATGTTAAGTTTTCAAAAATCAAGCTGAGAGGTCATTGACTCAAAAGCTTTATTCAAGAAAAAAATGAGCCAACGAGGGTCTTATGCAGACAAATCAAGGTTAACCCTGCCTCACTAACCCCTTTTGCCTTGAAACGGATGTTAAAAACCCTGCAGGCAGATCTGGAAGATCGGGGAGGCAAATTCTGTCCCTTTCTCTAACTCAAGAGAAGCCGAATTGCTGAGCAGAGAGAAAAGTCCATAATTAACACATCATCAAACAATGGAGGGATGACCACCAACTGAGAGAGCTTTAAAAGGGGATTAGACAAATTCATTGAGGTTATTCATGGCTGCCTCCTAGCTATCGCTCCCTTCCTTCATATCTTAAGACGCCATTCCTCCCAATTTTACTGTCAAGGGAATATAAAACAGTTGTTAAAAGAATAAGCTCTAAATCCCCCAGATCATGTTGGGGGGGGCGATAAATGGCTCAAGGCTACTTAGGTGGAAAGATCAGTGGAAGATGGGACCTTGTTGGCCAGTAGGGGAACAGAATAGAGGCCACGGGTGTTCAAAGGAGGAATGATGTCATGGGCACCACGAAATCACCACACAAATGACTTCATGGCACAATGACATCCAAGGGGCTTCTAATGGACAACCATGTATGAGGATAAATGGACCTTATTCCAGCTCTAATTCAGTTTATCTTGCCACATACTGTAGGAGGTTAGCACCCACCCCTCTCCTAGAAAAATGAAATAATTTAGGGAATATTAAAAAGGCAGAATATTTCCCCTAAGAGGGAGGCAGAAACAGCCCCCACACACACCTTTGTCAATGGGCCATTAAGGCCTGAGCCAGTCTATTCTACATAACAAAGATCCACCTCCTTCAGGCAGAGCCATAATAGGAATCCCAAAGCCCTTTCATTACATCATCACCCGGCAAAGGCTCAGCCAAGCCTGGGACTTAAGACAGCCTGCAGAACTGCCCCTGCATGGTCCCATGGGAGTCTGACAACCAATCAGAATGCAAGTTCAAATTCAAAAACCCAGAGAGGGCATAAAACCAGGGCACTCTCAGCATCTCTTCTCTTTTTCCCCAGGACCTCAAACCACATGGTCCTGCCCATCATCAATAAATCTTCTTTCCAAGCAAATTCCATGAATCCATGGTCTTTTTCCCCACTTGGAACTTAACCCAGAAGGACATTTCTTCCAACAATACACACTTCATTTTTCCATTTGGGGGATAAAAGCTGAATCCAACTAAATTAAAATGAATTATCTTATATTAGAATGTTTACTATTTTTTTTTTGTAACACAAAATGCTTTCAAACCAACATCAAATCAAATCAAAATAAAACTGGTTCAAGGAGGCCCCAGTTGGTTCTCATTTAATAAGAAGACATGAAGCTTAGAGGTAAGTCTTTCTTGGTGATAATCACTAAGTAATCACCCCCAGTACTCTGATTTTTTGAGGGCATGCTAAGATTCCTTCAGCCCAAGAGGTGTGAAATCAGGATCCAGACGCATAGATTCTCCAGTTCTCAGGAATAAGATCACCTAAGATCTAAAGGACCACATGCTCATCTCCTATCAGGGTTTATCTTTACCTTGTCTCTTCTGGATCATTGGCACATTTATCGCAAACACTTTAGAAAACACATATGTTCCTGTGGAGCTTTCCATTCAAACCCTCTTACTTTGATTAACAAAAACCTTTCTTTAAAAAAAAAAGCAAAGAATACCAGATGTTTATATTAAATATATATTTCACTAGTCAAATGTAATAAAGTATGCGGGCTAACCTATTTGGTTCAGATGACTGATCTGATGTTAGCTGATGCAAAAAAAAAATCCAGGATGAACTGCAATGACCAAATTTGGTTAGGTAAGATTACTAATCCTAATTTCATGTGACAACAATGAACCTAGGATATTCAGAAAGTTAAGAGAACAAAATATAATGAGCTACAACTGAACTCTTTTCTTTAAAAGCTGTCCAAAAAGATATAGTTTCTCTCTTTGATTGTTACCCATCAAAAGAGATAAGGCCATCCCAGCATAAGAGATTCAAAACTCGGTCAAGTAGAATATAGGGAGGGAGAAAGGAACTACAATTTATTTTTTAACTTTTCTGAAAGAGATTGTGTGAAATCTTACCTCTTGCTATTTTCCAGCACCTTCTTTTACTGTAAAGAAATTATAACCCAGAATAAAAAGCAAAGCGAAAAATTAATACCTTGTGTTAAAAATGTAGTGTTACTTTCTTGTGGGTAAAAAATAATAATAAAGATCGAGGAAAATTCTGAAATAGTGCAACTCACCACATTAAAAAACAGCTTTAACGCCATTAGGAAATGGAGTTACTTTCAATTATTAAAAGAGTAGATCAAAATATTTTATTTGTTTGTATCCCACCTTTATTACTTTTACAAATAAGGCAGTAACATACATACCTTCCTCCTCCCTTACGCCTTTTCATTGATCTTTCTTGAGAAAGGGTTTTTACAACACTTTTCAAGGCAACAGAACAATTCTGTATTATTCCCAAAGATCTGAGCCCCACTAATGAATACATAATATTTAGCTTAAAAATTTTATGCTAATAAAAAGGATACAAGGATTGTTGTCATCAATGCTGCAGTTATCCAGGATCAATGGGATGCCATTTAACTCATACACCTAGGTGAAGAAAAAAAAGGCGTATTTAATACAATTTGAATTGATTTACAATATTTATATGTTCCTATTCATTAAGACTCTGGGCGATGTGCAACAGTCAAAACTACAAAAGAAAATTTATTGTATGATTATTATAATATAATCATGGATGCAATCATAAAATAAAATAAACAATCCAACCACCATATTGTGGATGAAAGTAATCACAATTTTAAGGGTCTTCCCTTCCCAGTGGAGCAGTGTCTAGAATGCAGTATTGCAGGCTACATTCTGCCAACTGCCAGCAGTTTGATCCTGACCGGCTCGAGGCTGACTCAGCCTTCCATCTTTCCAAGGTTGGTAAAATGAGGAGCCAGGTTTTGGGGGCAATATGCTGATTCTGTAAACTGCTTAGAGCGGGATGTAAAGAACTATGAAGCGGGATATAAGTCTAAGTGCTATTGCTAAAGAAAAGAAGCCAAGTACATGAGTACTTCAGAATGGCTGTTACCAAGATGGACTGATGTTTTGACTCAACACCATCAACCACCCAATGGGGCAGCTCCCTCAACAGAATTTATCTAGATGAAAGGTGGAATCCGGCTGGAGTTTCTTCAAGCAAACACTCTGTAAAACATTTCTCTAAAATGTAATATCGTCTAGGCAAGTTTCCATTCTATCCCATCCCATCCTCTTCTCCATTCCATTTCATTCTATCCCATCCCATCCCATTCTTCCTCTTCCCCATTCCATTGCATACATTTCCATTCTATCCCGTCTCATCTCATCCCATTCTTCCTCTTCCCCATTTCATCCCATCCCATCCCATCCTTCAAGAAATGGGCCTCCCGCACCACGGTGGGGAGGGGGGGCATTTTTTATTTCTCCAGGCTCTGGAGGCTTTCCTTGAACCTTTGGGAGGACGAATACTGCTTCCCCCAGGCTCCGTAAGCTCTCCGGAGACCGGAAACAGGCCCGTTTCCAGTCATCCGGAGGACCTGTATTTCCCTCACCCCGAATCTCAGTGCGGGCCCTGCACTTACTTCGCATCCAAAATGGGCCCCGTGGAGACTCCTGGGAGAGGCCGGGTGAGAGGGGCGGGGTGGAATTTATGGCCGGATCTCTGAACCGGCCATAAGGTTAGCTATGGGTTCTCCTGAACCGGGACAAACCCATAGCAGCCCACCCCTGCATCTTTCATCTTCTCTATTCCTTTCCATTCTATCCCATCCTATTCTTTCTCTTTCTCTTTCCCATTCCATTCTTCCTCTTTCCCATTTCCACTCAACTCCTGGTTCCTAGCAGCTTCCCTGCCTGAGCTGTTGAGTCTGTGGCTGGTTTGCCAGTAGAATTCCCCAGGCCTATACTCCTGCTTTCCTTGATGTTCAAGCCCAGAATGGCCCTGGTCCAGGTTACTGAAGGGTCATGTAGTAGATTTGGTTTTTGATTTGGAACAGTGGAGACAGGATTTGGACTTGGGGGTATTGTCCTCAGTGCCTTGTCATGAATCGGTCATCCCCTGCCAGAATTCTTCACACACCTTAAATTTGCCAAGATTGAGGAAACATTACATTATAGATTCAGTAGCGCATTTAGCTGAGCATCCTCGGAAGAAATATATTTGAATATATTTCAATGCCTTCCTCGTTGCCTTTCAGATTAATTAATTCCGTTTCGCAAAATCACAGTACAGATTGCCCTCAAGGTACGGATACAGGCTTTCCAAAAGTGCATTTCTGGAATAGCAATCTCACGACAACTTCTTTCAGAACTTATTTTTTAATTATATTATTCACGATAAGAATGGAAATACATCACCCATTTTATATAACGGATTTTGCATTAATCATAAGATGTCAATTATTCTTTGTTGTGCAAATGAATTGAGTTCCGGCCAAGCCAGGTTCCTGGAACCAAAATGATCTTTTGTTGCAACAAAAACTTACCTTGCAACTGAGTACAATTACATCACGAATCAAGAGCTAAAGTCACTTTCTTCCTTCTCCCCCCCCAAAAAAGTAAAGAATAGTCACATATTGGTTTTAAATGTTCGGGTATGTCCAGACATGCAAACGCTCGGCGTAAAAGCTCTTGCTGTGACAACGTAATTACTGATTCTGACAGTTTTCATTCCAGAAGGCATACACGAGAAATCAGTCAATTTTTGGCAGCAACTTCAGCAACAATGGAAAAGTGAGTACTGCTAATATTGGATATACTTCTCAACTGAAGTATTCAGCTCGGCAAGTAATATCGGCTTTAATTCAAAAAGGAAAACCATTGGCTATTCCCTGTTCTTCACTGCTGATATAGCTGAGTAACCAATAGAATAGAATAGAATTCTTTATCGGCCAAGTGTGATTGGACACACAAGGAATTTGTCTTTGGTGCATTATGCTCTCAGTGTACATAAAAAGTAAAGATGCACTCATGAAGAATCATAAGGTACAACATTTAATGATAGCTCATTGGATACAAATAAGCAATCAGGAAACAATATCAATATAAATCGTAAGGATACAAGCAACAAAATTATAGTCATGCAGTCCTAAGTGGGAGGAGATGGATGATAGGAATGATGAGAAGACTAATAGTAANAATGAGGACCCAGACTGTGGGGGCAATATGCTGACTCTGTAAGCCGTTTAGAGAGGGCTGAAAGCCCTATGAAGCGGTATATAAGTCTAACTGCTATTGCTCTAGGATCACGAAATCAGACACACTCCCCCGCTTGGTCCTAAGAGGACTACAAGTATTTGCTTCCCCTGTTAAATTTGCAGTCCAAACTGGAGGATGCTAATGACACTGTTGGTGAAAAATGCAGTATTATACATTGATCCTGCCCTCTGTTTCCATCAACTAGGATCTCCAGAAAGGAATTCTGAATAATCCATAGATGTCCAATTCCTTCTTGGTAGGTTTTTCAGACCCAGGGACAATATTCCAGCCACAGTTGTGACTCTTCGTGCCCGATTAAGCTTTATCCTAAAACTGCCTACTTAGCAGCCTGTCTTTGAAAACTAAAAGAACAAACACAACAGTGACTAATGGTTTTCGACATTCAGAAGGCGAGGTCATGCTAACCTCTAGGAGTTAGCTGGCATGTAGGGGCCAAACTAAATGGGACATTAAAGGCTTCTTTGCGTGTAATCCCCAAAGTATTTAAAATGGGACTAGGAAGGAATATGAATTAATAAGGTTAATAACTTAAAGTCCTTCTTCTCCTGCAACCAGTATCTGTATTATGAGGAAACTCCCGATCAGCGTGAAACCACCAAGCTGCCGTTCATCAAGAAACACATCTCATTATCCTATGGACAATATACCGTTAATGGCTTTTCATCCCATTATAACCTTAAATATTAATGGTCCCTCTCCCAGGGATTCAAGGGGTCATATAGGTTCTGGGCTAGTGTTAAGTCAATGACCTTAACACAATGGCTTCCACCAGGGGTCTATGACAATTCACCAGGGACAACTAGCCATGGCCTACCTGTCACAAGACAACTCACTGCAGAACAAAAACCACACTAATATCAAAGAAATGGTGGACTAGACTCGTTAAAGAAAAGATGCAAAAGGAAGGACAGAATGAAATGGGAATGGCAAAAATTAAAAAAAAGAATAATTTATTTCAAATAATTAGACAGAATTGTTAAATTGTCCTGCAGCGAGTTGGCCGTGGTGATTTGGCCACGGCAAATTGTCATAGAGCCCTGGTGGAAGCCATTGTTTGCAAGTTGTCCCATTCCATCCACCAGAGGATATGGCCGGCTCCCTCATCAAATGGAGGGGGGGGTGTCTGTCCAGGAGTGGGTTCCGGCTTCTGTTACTGCCAGTTCGCTCAGGGATGTGCTACATGTGCATGCGCAGCAGTAAAAAAAATGCTTTTGTGCATGAGCAGAAGCAAAAAACAATATGGCGGCAAATGGAACCGCTTCAGGGGCGTGGCCGTCCGAGTTACTACCTACCGGCCTGAAACAGCCTGAACCGGTAGGAACCGACCTTTGGGGTCTGCTGCAAAAGGCCCATTCAGAAAAATATATTTTCC